TTTTACTTATGTTAAGAAAGGTAGGGGTAGACCTAAAAAGACTTGGTTAGAAAATATTAGGAATGACCTTTCTTTATTAGATTTAAACGAGAATTTGACTTTTAATAGGACACAATGGAGAAAAAGGATTCATGTAGCCGACTCCACGTAGTGGGATAAAGGCTTGATGTTGTTATTGTTGTTCTAGGAAGGGAGAGATCAAATTGTAAGACTTGAATTGCGAGGATTCAACCGGGAGGAAAATTTTCAAGGATATATCAAACATTGAAGACCTGAAAGAGTTCAAAGTGGGTAAATTAGATTAAATTATTTTATGATTTTATTCATGTTTGTAATATTCTAAGTAACTAATAAAACTTTGTATGATATCTTATGATTTCATGGCTTTAAGAACAAAGTTTGAAAGTTTATGAAAAAGAGAAAATAGAAAAGAAAAAGAGAAACAAAAGACTATATATGCATGGAAGTAAAACAGATATAATAACAAGGAAAAGGTATTGAAAAACTTACAGGAGTTCACCTCCTTATGGTACTGGCTGGGGACGCCGTACTCGTGCACGTAAAAAGGAAAAGGAAAAAGGAAAGGTAAAATGGAAAAGGTTGTACTTTTGGGTGCTCCTGTGCAAATTAAATGGGAAAAGGAAATATCAAGATGGTTTTAAATGTTTAAAAGCAACATGATCGAATATGTATAAATTACCAAAATAAATGGAATAAAGTTAAGAAATGGTTGAATACATATTGAAGATTATAAGAGTATTGTAATTAAAAATAATTATTTAAATTGTTCAAATATTTACCCACTGAGTTTACTTAGTAAACTCAACCCACAAGTTTAAATGTTTCAGATAAATTTCTAAAGAAATAATAGCTGAAAGAGAAGAACATGCTTACAGAAGACGACGTGCAAATGATAACAGGTAATTTATATTTTGTGGTTAGTGGCTCTTTAATACAAATGAAGTAGTATAATGTTTAATGAATTTTATCGTCCGACTTTTCGTGCCCGCCTCGTTAGATCTAGCATCCGGGCCAGGTCGTGACATAGCTTTTATAAATTGCTTCTTTTTACCTGAATTTAGCCCAACAGTGCTTCTAATAAAAGTAGCTGTAATAAAAATCAAATCAGTTTAACATATTAAAATTTACTAGCACATTTAGTCCCAATTAAAAACAAATGTCATCGCAACGAAGCATGCACCACGACTGGACAGAGTTCTCCGAACTAGGTTTTCTGCACCATCACCAATCAATCAAAAGTTTGGGAATAAAGTAAACTCATTAAATTCCCCAACAAAAAAAAAAGTAAACTCATTAATGATGTGATACTAGTAGGAGTTACAAATAGAATTAACAGAGAAATTGTTTAGTTTGCAATTATAAATTTATTTTGATCATGCGAGGTAGGTTTAAGAATTGGAAACGTTGACTTGCTTAGGCCAAAGATTAGCAATTGAGATTAACCAAAACAATTCATTCCAAATTCAAAGAGAAGTCAAATGCGAAGTACAAATAATAAAAACCCAACGTTTAACAACGAGAATTTCACCTCGAGGCCGTCTCACTCAAAATGCGGTAGGCTTTAGCGGAGATAGACGATCCAAGCGATGAAGAGTATTACGACTATGGAGAGGAAGCCGGCGGTATTCGTCCACGGAGAGGTAGCCGTCGTAGGAGGAAGAGGTGGATGACCGATGATAATCCAATGGCGAGGTGGAAGGTGTTCTTCAATCGACCCAGCTAATTGGAGTCGGATGCGGTTGACGTAGGCTTCCACGATCTCGTCGAATTCCAGTTGTACGTCGAAGAAAGGGGATGCAAGGATGTCGGTTCGTCCTTGCTCATCAAATTGGAAGCCGTGGTCGATTCCCGGATCCGCCCTACATCCTTGGCGACAGAAGATCTTTCTTGAGGGAAGAAGAAGATTTGGTGCGGAGAGAGGGAACACTCGTAGTTGACAGTGGGGAGAGGAGAGGGGGCTGGCGGGATTTCCAAGGAGGAGGGAGAGTCTCGGCCAAGAGAAGGAAGGAGGCGGGTGGAGAAAATTAGGAGGGCTAGGTTAGTGAGGTGGCAAGTAATTTTATCAAAATCTGAAATTAATTTCAGATTCTAATAATTAGGAGGCAACAATTTGAAATTATTTTCAAATTTTCAAAGAGGATTAAAGAGGATTAATGCGCCATTAATAGGTATTGAATTCCGCCATGAAGACTTTCTAAATTTAGCTTTCCAAATTAGGAAAGTTTTCGAAATTTGAAATTCAACTTTCAAATTCGAAGCAACCGGATGAAGTGCTTGGCCGGGTGGATGGCTTCGCCGGAAGGATGCCGGTCGGATCCTTGATGGTGGCCGGCGGCGGGATCAAGGGTGGCCGGTGGCGGGATCAAGGGTGGCGGCACCTAATTGGGGAGAATTTGAGTTGAGGTGGGGAAAAGACTTGGTAGGGAAGAACAAAGAAAATGGACAACTACGAAATATGGGAATCAACCACGAATCGCGGACTCTTCCAACGATTGGTGGGTCTTGCAGATTGCTCCTCTTGAGCTCTCTCCTCTCTCAAGCACTCATGCAAGAAAAGTAGAATTACACATAGATTTCATTCAATAATTCATTAAACTCAAAATGATACAAGAGACCACTATATATAGGTCTCAACTCATACAAAGCGAAAGTACTAAATTGCCCACTGGGCTACAATGATAAAATAACTCCCCCACAGGGGTAAAATGGGAAAAACAGTAAATAAAACAAGACAAGAATAAAATACATCATGACATCAAAATCAAAAGTAAAGTCGCTGAATCGTGGCCGTCGATCTGCGGTTTCGCCGGCGATAAACATGTCGGTAGCGTCTGTTGATGTCCTCATCAATTAATATCATTAAAAGAGGTTCCATCTCAACAGTCTAGTTTTATTTCAGATAAATTCCAAATTTACATCAAGAAAACAATTAAACATTCTATCATCATTACATGATTCCGTGTCAACAGCCTAGTTTGATTTCAAATAATTGACCAATTCACGTTGAAATAAAAACAGCTGAATTATACAAATAATACATATCATTCACCCTTCAATACAACATTAAAAGAATTTTTATTGATGGGAACATTAGACTATCAATGCTGAAACATACCTGTCCATTCAGTTCATTTCCACAAAAGTACCTGAAAGGCCATATGAACTTTGAATAAGTCAAACAAATCCTTTCACACAAAACAGGGTTAGCTTCAAACGCATTATGCATAAAAGCATGGAAAACCTTTTATACTTTAATTTAATTGGCCGGAGTATATACACAAGTATAGCTACAAAATGTTTTTATTTCAGGAATGCTGATATCTTGATAAGTAAAGAATAGTATGACTAAATGCATTATAAAAGGTCCATGTCATTGAGCAAGCATGCCATCACATACACATGTATATTCCGTAGGGAGCAAGTACTTACTGATGGGAAAAGAAAGACTGGGAAAATTTACATACCTGCAAACTCAAAATATTTACAAGTATAAAATTGCAAAAATTAAAAATAAATAATCATTTAAAATGGCATCTAAAAATAATAAAATATTATGATTCTTTTATACATAACAGATGGCAAGTTAATTAATCTTCAGATAAGTGCCAATAAATTAACCTATATTAATAACATATAAAAAATAAAACAACAACATTAAGCCTTTATCCCACTGGGTGGGGTCAGCCACATTAATCTTTTTCTCCAATGTGTCCTAGTAAGAGTCAAATTCTCATTTAAATCTAATAAAAAATGTCAATTATAATGCTTTCTAACCAAGTCTTTTTAGGTTTATCTCTATCATTTTTAACATAGGCCAAATCTAATGCATCTACTCTCCTAATCAGGTCGTCGGAAAGCCAACACTTTATGTGACCAAATCATCAAAGGTGGCTCTCTCTAATCTTATCTGTCATTGGAGCTACTCCAACCTCTTCACATATATACACGTTTCGCATTTTGTCTCTAAGAGTGAAGTCACTCATCCACCTGAGCCCTCATCTCTGCAACACTTAACTTAATTTTATGCTTCTATTTTAATGGCCAATATTTTGCACCATAAAATATTGCAAGTCTCACCATCATCTTATAGAATTTTCCCTTAACTTTAATGGGTACTTTTCTATCACACAAAAGGCCCAATGTATTCCTCCACTTCAACCATCCAACATGAATTCTACTAATAATATCCCCATCTATTTCACCATCATTTGAACAATTGACTCGAGATACCTAAAATATGTACTCTTTTTAATGACTTGATCACTCAAAGTTACAATCGCCCTACTAGATCTATTAAAATTACACTCCATGCATTCGGTTTTAGATTTACTCAAACGAAAACCTTTAGAATCTAAGGTTGACCTCTATAATTCAAGTTTTCCTGCAACACCCTCTCTAGTTTTATCAAATAGAAGAATATCATCAACAAAATAGCATACATTAGGGTACATCCTCTTGCAAATATCTAGTAAGAACATCCAAATAAAATGTTTGTAAGAAATTTTTGCTGCAAAGGAGTATATGTTTTGCAAGTTGATTGGATATATATCATAAGATTGAGAAGATAATTATCTCTCAGCGGCATTAGCGTGTCCAAATTGATATTAACCACTAGATTTTCCAATGCATCACCGACTTTCACTTACCACTGCAAAATGTAAAACTTGACAATTGTCAATTGGTGATGTAGGTTCAGAGAATAAAGCACATTTTTAGTAACAATGTGACGCGCAATTTTGTATGTACTTGTCAGAACATCTACTATACCACATAAAACTAATAATATCACAATCATGAGATACACAGTATGATTTCTTCTCAAGAATTTCTAACTCCATATCTTTCTTCTATAACCTGTAGCAACTAAAAGATTTAAAAAAAAAAAAAAAAACTCTTTACAAGAAAGTTGAAATAGTCGCTATTAAAATTGTTAACATAAACAAAGGTATATTAATAAGCTTATGTAGGCAACTCCCATTCATTTCATTGTTGTGGTCAAATGAATACACCTCGCTCTAGCTTAATATGCTATATTTTAGGGTTATAAATAACCATACGAGTTAAATCACTTTTTTTGCACATGGGTGTCAACCAAATATACATGACAGGCAAATCAGTGAAGGTCGCCAAACTTGATAAATAGCTGGAAACTTCAATTTCTAGTGATCCTTCGTACATTTTGGCATTCCACATCTCATGATGAACTTTGAAGATATAATTAACTGCCCAAAATTTTACCGACATCCAGATCTCCAAAACACATTAGGAAAATGATAGAAAACAGCCATCACAAGTGCAGAATTTGCTGAATTTCAGAGAAATTCAGCAAATTTGATGCAGAAATTCCAAACTTAGTAGAGAAAGCAGCAAGATAAAATATCCAATTCAGCAAAACAATAAGGAAAATAGCAAACGATATAAGAATCTTCAATTTGAAAGGAAGATCCAACTCTCCAAAACTCTAGCTAAATACTAAAGCCCAAACACCACACAAGAGATCTCAAATTCAGCCTCCAAAATTCAAGATAACTCTAACCCTAGCCAAAAGTAATTAAAGTAAAAGAAAAATTACATAATCCCTAAACAGCCCTAATTCAAATTTTCCCTCCAATACAAAGCTTAATTAGTGAGTAGGCCCTACCACACTAGCCACCCCCCCTCTCTCTCTTCCTGGTTCCCCCCCCCCCCCCCCCGGCCCGCCGTTTATAGCATTGAACCGGTCCAGGATGGACCAGTTCAGCCGGCCCTAAGCCGGCCTAACATAAAACCGTTGCACTCTAGATTCATTATACATTTATTCTTCAATTATGAACAATGAAATGACAAAAAGGAAGAAAAGCATGAGAAGAAGCACGATATAATTTAAATTTAGAACATAATATGGATTTCATTGATCATTTCACTGCCTTACCCCATGAAATCATTCTTCTTTGAGACACTCATCCCACAACATAGAACCACGCCCAACTAAGAAAAAACATAAACCGATACAAGAATAACACAGATCATGCTCTCCCCGACAATAGCAAGCCAACTGAATCGCATAAACTTAAAAATAATGAGTATGATCATTTCAGAGCCACTACTCCAACCAACCATGCGCAATGGAATCACAACCTTGTCAAGAATTTCCAGAATAGATCAAAGAAGAGCTTGCGGGAGGTTATATCGGTAAACAGACAAACCCCATGGTGAAGGATAATCTAATTTATCGCGGTTTCTTTATCATTTTCCATGTGCAAAGGCTCGGTACAATTTTCAGAGGTAAAAATAGTAAAAGATTCAAGAAATGCAGCCATAAACATGGGAAACTAATCAGTGCAAATCCAATAAGATGACCTCTAAAGGAAAACAATACCTGACAATCTTCTCCAGGTAGTCCGATACCACGATTTGCCAGTATGGCCCGAGAGCAGCGGTGCCCTCGACCACCACGATAAGTTGTTTCTCCGCCATCTCCTCCTCAAAGCACCGCAAGAAGCTTCTCCACCGCCAGGGATCACCGGAGCCACCAAAGGCCCGCTACTTCGACGACCACGTCCGTTGTTCGGGCCGGCCGTGAATGAAAGCCTTAAGCAGTTCCCACGAGAAAACTTCAAGTCTCGGTTGCGGTTACGGTCTCTTCGGTTGCAGGTGGTGGGCTGCTCAGCCGCTTTTTTTCCTTTTCTTTTTCTAAAGAGGAGGATTTTTTATTAGTCCCTCTTTGGATGGGCGTTTTAATAGAAATTTTTTTTAGGAATTTTTTTTTTTTATTTCTCTGTTGAAAAACTTTATTTTCTTAATCATTATTTTTAAAATTATCTTTTACAAAAGAAGAGAAAGAACAAATCAAACCTCAATTTTTTTATTTAGCTTTTACTTTAAGTAAAAAAGTGTTTTAGAAAAAGATGTTTATAAAAAGAAGTTTAATAAAATGGAGTTTCAACAATAATATGTTGTTTGTGTAATATTTTTTAAGTGCTTATTAATACTTGAAAGCAGAATTAAATTGTTTGTTTATGGGTTTAGCTTTAGCAATTTTATTATAAAAGACTAAATTATCCATACTTAAATTTTAAATATATGTCATTAAATTTTTTTTATTTTACAAGGCAAAATTTACATAAATTCACATATATAACTCTCTAAGAAAAATAAAATTTTCTAATAACTTATAATATCAAAAGTTTGCATTATTAACTTATAGTTTCTTAACATATAGCATAATTTTTACTACAAATAAAATAAAACTAAATTATATTACTTTATTATTATACTTACAGTATTTTGTTTTTATTTATTCTATTAAAAAAAATTCACCTGCAACCATACAAATATATTTATGTTGTAAACAAATAAAGCAATTTCATAATTTGAGAGCAGTAATTGAGTAACATCGAAGTTTTATTACGTCCTCTGACCGGACGAAAATCTATGTTCGGTCAAAGGATTGTTACTCGATTTTTGCTCGGTATTTGGTCGGTATTGCTATGTATTGTTTGATAATAACGAGGAATACCACTCTGGGAAGACCAATACCGAGTAAGACCAAGTAATACCGAGCAATACCGAGTAATACAAAAAAATACCGAGTTTTTTCTAGAAAAAACTCGGTATTTTTTTGTATTACTCGGTATTGCTCGGTATTAGGTATTTTGTCTTCACATAATGATATTTCTCGTTATTATTGGTATTGCTCGATATTTCTCGTTTTGTGCCTGCAATCTTAGTGCCGGCCGAACGTAGCTCTATGTACGTTCACCGGACCAAATAAAAATTCGAGTAACATCACCTCCAGAATTCGAATTCTGGTGGAGTAACGTCACTTTGATTAACCAGGTACCGATGAGCAAGCCATTACTGCTTTGAAACAACAGAACCAGAATATGTCCTACTTCATACCAAGCTCATTGTTCGGACAATACTTCAGACATTAAAAAAAAAATTACTACAATTGAACTACTTTACACTCTGAACAGATTGATCATTGAACCTTCCAGATATTCATAACGAATTTATATGAGCATCATTCAGAGTTCAGACGCAAAACTCACACTCAGTGCAAGTTAACCAAACAAGAATACAAGATAGTAATAAACAGCATGCGTTTCATGCTAATAACAGAATGATTACAAATTCATAAATTTACACATAAAATTGTTCTAAATTTTACATGAATAAAAATCCAACCATTGCACATCACAGCGATTGACAAATATTTTACAATTACTTTTCTAAATAAATCATTAACATGCATGTCATCATCTCCATTGGGTTCCTATTAGAGAAAAATATAAACAAATATTTCAAATTTTTGTATGAAATAGTTTGGAAATCATAATCACAAAAATTAATTTGCATATTCATTATACCTACTACAGTTGTATAATTCAAATGCAATTTTCTCTCTGAGTTCAATCATTTCATTAAAACTTTCGCCATCACCAAACTCTACTTCGACATCTCACACATTACTTTGTTCAACTTGTTCTCCTGCTATGCATTGATATGTCTCTCTGGATGAATAAAATTTTCATTAACGTCACAGTCAAAAAAATTCTGGATCATTTCGTGATATATGTCACCGAATATAATTATGCAATCACATGGTAGCAACAACAATAAGACGCTACTTATTAAAGTTATAATTTGGCATATCTCTTAATATTCCTCATTTCTTTTTCCATACTCTAAACGCTCGTTCAATTACACTTCTTAGTGAGGAATGTCTACTATTAAAAAGCTCCTCATGTCCCCTTATCGTTCTACCACTTTTTCTAAAATATGATATATGATTTCTTGTCTCCAAGTACGGCTTTAAATATCCCCTTTGAAGAGGGTAGCCAACATCAACTAAGTAGAACTTTCCTGTTATCAAATTTGTTAATTAGTATACAGTATAAAAGAATCAATAAAAATAATTATTACTTTTATAAATTATGAATACAGAAGGTGGTGCAAGAAAATTATATCTTGGATCCATCACCACATGTTGAAAAATAAGCGCATCATGTGCCGAGCCCTTCCAATCAGGTGCAACAAACGCAAAGCACATGTTGAAATCATATGCAGCCATTATATTTTTGTGTTGGTGAATGATGGTGTCTAATATAAGAAAATTGTTCTTCAACATGTGTGCCATCAATAACACTAATGCAATCTTTAAAATATGGCATGTATCATGTACCATTCACAATTTCTGTTGGAATATCATGGAAAAACTTATCTACATGTTCAATTATCTCCATGGATAACCTAACTAATGCTTGTAAACCATTATTAAAAGACCTACTAATCATCTTTGTAGAGTGTTGAAATTGTTCATATGTTGATCTAATACTCTCATTATGTCGCAAAATGAAAAAAGTTATCGCAAGTACCTCTCTACTAGTAGTTATGTGAGATCCATGTAAACCATACGATGATCTCAACAAAGAAAGCAAGTTCATAAAAATAACTTGTGACATTCGGAACATATTATGAAATATGTTTGAATGACCATGCAATAACTCATTCACCCATTTATCCCAAGTTTGGCCTGATGTCATGCAATGACTCTTACAAACATATAATGCATATAATCATGAATTACACATGTTGTTGTATGTAATATACGAGTAAATTCAATCACTCTTTTACGCTCATGAACATCTGACATGTCATCAAGAACTTCTTCTTCCACAAAATTTACTGAATCCTCTGACATGATTGACATGAACAAGTAAAAATGATACATATTAACAAATGGTATCTAATAATAGATATAGGGATACTTTATACTAAAAACAGAATCAGTAATAGCATATCATGAGATTAAAAAGAAGACAGTTTAAATTATTATTATTTGAATACATGCCATAAGCTTTTCTCGTACAGTACTGATCTTTTGGAGTGAGAAGATTTTCATATTTTATATGGAAATCATTATATTCAAAGATGGAAAATTTTTCTTATAACACAAAATCTCTAGCAGTTCTACCAAATTTTAACTCCATTGCATTAAAATTCATCTTACATGTACTAGACAGAAATCCCAAATCAGAATAGAACAAATTCAAGCAAACTCATTATTTGGAAATAATGTAATTTTTTGAAATAAGTCATAGTATGCAAGATTCTCATCAAAGCAGGCCAAAATCTCATCAAAGTATGTTTGCTGCCTATTCATCGAGTTCAGATGACAAAAACTATTTAACATAGACTTGACTCAACGTTTAAAGTTGCCACGGTTACTTGATATTTAACTGGGTAAATGAAATCACACAACCCCCACCGATGCTTAGCTTGGTTGGTGGGCGTGCTCAGTTGGGAACCCCTCATCCAGAGTTCAACTCCCTCGAGCGGCAGTCGCCCCTAAAGTGGAATCCCAAAGCGCCAGTTGCGGGTACAATGGCGTGGCTGGTCCGGTAGGTTGGCCGGGGTTTACGGGCTGCCAAGTGCGATCGACGAAGCCAAGCATGAAAGCGAACGATTCTTCGATTCTTGGTAAAAAAAAAATCACACAACCCTATTTGTCCGGACAATTGAATGAGGTCATTGCAAATTTTTTCCAAAATTAAAAAAAAAGTATAATAATACCAACTTGGCATGGTTTAAAAATCAACAAAAAATCTCCACATCGTATAACAGCAAATACGAAATAAATTGTATTTTAAAATTTTAATACAAATAAATTAAATGCTTCTAACTGGAAAACAACTCTCTTTTTTTCACTTGTAATTGATCAATTGAATTTGTTCTTTTCATTTACAGCAATATATATATACATTGCATCCTTCATTGCATGTACAACTATGATTAGTAAACTTAATCTCACAAACAATAGCAACTCGGAAAAAAAAATGTTGCTTAGTAATGTTATAGTAGTATGAACAGACCTTTAGACCAACATAATGTAATACATAGAATTTTAACACCGAGCATAATATTAACAAATAAGTTGCAACTTAATTAAGTACATGAACAATTAAGAAAGCAATTGAACATAATTATATCTAGAACAGTGGTAACAAAAAGTTTCAACCTAAACAAACACAATAGACAAAAATGTTATAACAAAAACTAGACACATGAACATCAACTACAAGAACATAAAATCTCCTTCGATAGATTATTATTAACATTAATTTCTATCAAATCGCCTTTGAAGCCACCATAATCTTCTTTTGATGGGTATTCCGATGAATATCTCTTTGTAATTTTTATCTTTGAAGTATTATGTGGCAAAGTCATATAACTCAAAATCATCAAATATATTAGAAATTTAGATATCTCTTTTAAAACCTCAAGGATAGTAAATGTTTTGCTTTTGTCATTTGATGTACTTATGGCATAACTTATAGATTTGGTAGCATCTACGAGATCCTCAACATGATTTAGAAAAAGTTACCTAGTTTTTTACTTAGGAGTTCTAACTCTTTTTTTTCTACACAAGAATGTGGCACTTTATTGTGATATTTGTGAATCGTAGTTGCATGTATGGTCATTTGTAGTAGTATGTGGAAGATGTGTTTATTCATCTTGAGTATAGTCTTCTTCAAATGAGATTGTGTGATTCTGAGTAAGTACACCATAACTAGGAATCAAAGACTTTGTTACAATAATACGACTGAACATAAGATCTAATTTCTTTTCTAATTATGATGGTATTCCATTGTAACAAAACTTCTTCGCATTTAACATAACCTAAAGAACAATAAATGAGTAAATATGAAT